TATGAGGCGGTGACTGAAATCGGGCTAAAAAGTTTGAAACCTACGATAATAAACGTTAATTAAAGTGATGATATTCGATATTTGACATATAAATGAATAATATGCAATATATTAACCTTAAACTCATCACCTAACTTCACCAGCGGTACCGTTTGAGAGAGTCGTTTAGGGTTCATTGTTAATGCACCATGATTGAGCGAGTATAAATCAGAAGTTACAAGAAATAGATCTGTGGTAGATTTAACAGGTAAGAAACGACTTCGTGGTACGTTTACACCATAAGCGTTTTTAAAATGCTTGATAGCAGAACCAACAGCAGTTTCAAGTTGAATTACTTTTACACCAGATTCAAGTGTTTTGTTGTTAACAATGACTTCCAAATTAAGCTCCTTTTCTTCAGTAACGCGTTTTATAGCTTTCAAACTGATCCACAAATTATTAGTATTAAATATTCTAAATTTTTTGATTGACTTAAAGTCTTCAATATGTTCCGCAGGAACTTGAGCTACTTCCAGTAATCGAATGGTACCCTCGTAGTCAATAAGCGTACCACCTTTAATATCAGCTTTTGTTTTGTCAGTAACTTCCATTATGAATTCAGAGTCATTATCCACCATGTACTGAAGAATATTTAGGTCAACTACAGCACCGAGATTGTCAACATTGGAAATAAAAATATATTCTTTTCCTTCAGCAATTAACCGATCTAATATTCCAGAGTTAAGCATGGATTCAAACACGTCACCATGACCATAAGGGTACCTATTCACATTAATTATATCTCTTAGAATTCTTAGAATGTCAACCAATAATAATTTACCGGTAATAGCATCATACGCGCTTATATATACCGTAGTGCACTGACGGGGTCTAGTACATAATACCCGTCAAAAAACTTACAAAAGACCCGGGTATATTATACAGCAACGGGTCTGTGTCGCAAGAAAGAGAAATTTCATTTATATACATACTTCGTATTCATGATAAGCAGTCTAAAACTTTAAAAAAAACTTATATTTAATTAATAGAGATTTCGTGTTTTGCACTGGGTATTTTGCAAGGGGGGATATTGAAAAAGGGGGATACTTTGGTCAGTGCACTACGGTAATTCATTAAATTACCATTGACTGATATCACTAGTTGGTGTTTGAGGCATTGGCAATAGAGACTCCTTGTTAATTCTAGGGCAACGCGACTCATTAAATGTAAGAATATCAATCTTGTGACTTCCATATTTTTTGAGGATGCGCATGGTATCATCTTCAGTATTAAATGAGTTCATAAGTATAAATGGAACGTTAACGTCGAATTTTTTATTAAGGTACTAAGTGTCATAAAC